ATCAGATGCAGTCGAGGCAGGAGAGTTGCGGCATGCGGCACGATATCCTCAGCATCCAAGCCTGAATAGCCAACGAGCATGAAAAGAAGGGGGTGTAAGTGGAAGGCTAACAGATTGCTGCAGTGGAAGATGCAAATTGGTGCAACATTCGTATCGTTAGAGCTTTTCAAGTAGTTTCCGCCACTTGACGGCCGTTTTTTCTCTGTTTTTTTATACCCTTAACCCATCTTCAATGGGAAATTCGGGTATAATAGATTTGCTAAAAGTATGTAACGGGCAGTGCTCTGAGTCGCCTAATTGACCCTTGAAGCACGGAGGGCAATAACCTTGAGGGGAAGTGATCTTAAGAGGGCAGTAACCTTGAAGGGAAGTGACCTTAAGAGGGCAGTGACCTTGGGGGAGGTCTATGACCTTGAGGGGAGGTCAATGACCTTGAGGAGAGGTCAATGACCTTGAGGGGAGGTCAATGACATTGAGGGGAGGTCAATGACCTTGAGGGGAGGTCAATGACCTTGAGGGGAGGTCAATGACCTTGAGGGGAGGTCAATGACCTTGAGGGGAGGTCAATGACCTTGAGGGGAGGTCAATGACCTTGAGGGGAGGTCAATGACCTTGAGGGGAGGTCAATGACCTTGAGGGGAGGTCAATGACCTTGAGGGGAGGTCAATGACCTTGAGGGGAGGTCAATGACCTTGAGGGGAGGTCAATGACCTTGAGGGGAGGTCAATGACCTTGAGGGGAGGTCAATGACCTTGAGGGGAGGTCAATGACCTTGAGGGGAGGTCAATGACCTTGAGGGGAGGTCAATGACCTTGAGGGGAGGTCAATGACCTTGAGGGGAGGTCAATGACCTTGAGGGGAGGTCAATGACCTTGAGGGGAGGTCAATGACCTTGAGGGGAGGTCAATGACCTTGAGGGGAGGTCAATGACCTTGAGGGGAGGTCAATGACCTTGAGGGGAGGTCAATGACCTTGAGGGGAGGTCAATGACCTTGAGGGGAGGTCAATGACCTTGAGGGGAGGTCAATGACCTTGAGGGGAGGTCAATGACCTTGAGGGGAGGTCAATGACCTTGAGGGGAGGTCAATGACCTTGAGGGGAGGTCAATGACCTTGAGGGGAGGTCAATGACCTTGAGGGGAGGTCAATGACCTTGAGGGGAGGTCAATGACCTTGAGGGGAGGTCAATGACCTTGAGGGGAGGTCAATGACCTTGAGGGGAGGTCAATGACCTTGAGGGGAGGTCAATGACCTTGAGGGGAGGTCAATGACCTTGAGGGGAGGTCAATGACCTTGAGGGGAGGTCAATGACCTTGAGGGGAGGTCAATGACCTTGAGGGGAGGTCAATGACCTTGAGGGGAGGTCAA